GAGGAGATGAGTTTGGTGACATTCATCATATTCACCGTGAGTAGCGATTTGGCAGGATCACTAGCATCGAAAGTAGCAGCAGCATTCTCGGTATGGTTGTTTGGAGGAGTTTCAGCCATGGTTTATGTTGGAAAATCAGAGGATGCGGAAGGCTGGGACTTGGTCGATGAAGAGAGAGATTAGGATGGATGGAAAAAAAAAATTATCGTTTGATGATTCGCTCTGATACCATGAAAGCAAAGTGATTCTCATTGATTATTGTGCATAGAATATACACATATATACGAGTACAACGTATCTTGGTGTAACTAGAAAATCCTATGAGTAAGGAATATTGCTCAATATACAAAGATTTGATATCTTCTAAATATATCCTCTAATATGATGAATATCAAGGATACAAGGATCATGAATACGAATTATATCAAAACCAATATATTCCAAAGGGAAACAATTGGAGAAAAGTCCCTTTTGAATATATTCCAAAATATGATACATTTAATGTAAAATCTTCAGAAATATTAAATTTAGATTGTGAGATTAATCCAATCATAACATTAGAAGATTGGAAAAATCGTACAAGTTTACTAATACAAACTAATAAGGAATTAAGAGAACTACACCCTCACGAAATATTAAGTTACTTAGAACATAAAACAACAGGAATAGTATATAATTACTTAGGAGGATTGTCGTCAGGAATAAAAGCAGAAAAAATTATAAGATCAACCACATGAGAAACATTTGTTAGACTAATTGACGTAATAGAAGAAGAATTTCTCGGAAGAACTTCTGACGCACAACTAAGAGAAACACAAATATCAGAAACTGCATTATGGAAAATAGTAAATCTTAGAATTTGCAACATGTGCTACCTTGAAGCATTCATTTACGAATTCAGAGATCACTACTATCAGCTTACAACAGATAAGAAAATAGTAGCTGAAGAATTATTCTTTGATAAATTACCGCTATCAATATCAGAAGAAGTAAAAACTATATTCCAAAATAAAGTAAATGAAGGACAAACCCCCAATACTCTGGGAGGAAGAATAACAACCTTAAAAGATTGACACTTATTTCAATGCAACCAAGAAAAACGAAAACAAGAAGCAAAAATCGATAAATTATATTGTGATGCAATACCAGGACAAATAGGCAAATATGGTTGTGAACATATTCGCCAAAAACATAAGAAAAAGAAATGGAGAAAAATTCCATATAAAAAATACAGAAAACAAAAATATATACCACAAAAATATTTCAGAAATAGAAAACAATACAAGAAGAAAAATTATAGTAAGAAGGACACGTACTGTCCTTCTAAGAAAAAGAATTGCAAATGTTGGCTATGCCAGGAGGAAGAACATTATGCAAATGAATGTCCTAAAAAAGGAAAGAAAAAAGAAACATAAATATTACGAATAACATACGATATGGGCTTTGAACCAATCGAATCAGATTCAGAGTTCGACTCAGATATCGAAATATACGTGTATACTACTAAATCATCCGATTCAGAAAATGAATAGAAAAATACTAAAATCAGGAAACCCTAATGCAACATTTATACAAATAACTATTGAAAAGAAAAAACTATTAGCATACATATTCACCGGAGCAACTCTATGTTTTGCTAAAAGAAATATCATCAAAAAATGGGTACGATTAGAAAAACCACTACGAATAGTCGTGGCTGACAAATCAACCCATGAAATATGGTATGTAGCTCAACACGTACTAATAATTATTGAAACTAAAATATTTCCAACAAAAACAAGATATCAACATGATTCTTGATTAGATATAATTATAGTAAATAATTTCCTAAAATTATATCAACCATTTATACAGCGAATAAAAACGGTCAGCTTGAAAGCACCTAAAATAGAAAATCAAAAATCAGAATTAGTTATAACAAAAATAATAACAAAAAATGAAATAATAAAATCTATTATAGAAGACTTAAAAAATAGACTAATATTTATAAGTATGACTCATATTAAGCAAAAGTTTGATGAAATATGCAGCGATAACGCGTTAGATATAAAAAATACAAATGAAGAACTAATAGTAATAAAACTAAAAAATCCATAAGATGAAATTAATGTACCAAATAAAATGCAATATACCCATAGAGATGTGGAAGAATTTACCAAAGTATGTAAAGAATTACTAGATAAAGGTATTATACGAGAAAGCACGAGTCCACACTCGGCTCCAGCTTTCTACGTAGAAAATAATAATGAGATAAAACGAAGAAAAATAAGAATGGTAATAAACTATAAAAAATTAAATGAAGCAACTATTGAGAATAGTTATAAATTACCAAGAAAAGATTATATTCTCGAAAGAATAAAAGGAAAAAAACTGGTTTAGCAGTCTAGATGATAAATCAGGATACTGGCAACTTCGATTGTCAGAAGAAACAAAACCATTAACGGCATTTTCATGCCCTCCACAAAAACATTATGAATGGAATGTTCTTCCATTTGGATTAAAACAAACACCAGCAATATATCAACAATTCATGGATAGAAATCTCCATGGATTAGAAGAATATTGTCTAGCATACATTGATGATATCATAATATTTACAAATGGATCCCAATCAGAACACACTGAAAAATTAATCACCGTTCTAGAACGATGTAAAGAAAAATGATTAATTATTTCTAAAAAGAAATCAAAACTAGTACAACAAGAAATTGAATATCTTGGATTAAAAATAAATAACAACGGAGAAATTGAACTAACAAATAATATACATGAAAAAATACAACAATTTCCTAACGAATTAACAGACAGAAAACAAATACAAAGATTCCTTGGATGTCTTAATTATGTCTCTGAACAAGGATTTCTCAAATCCTTAGCAAAGGAACAAAAACAATTACAAAAGAAAATATCATACAAAGTACCAAATACATCATTGAAACAGATGTTATATAATCCAACGACCAAAGATTTTTTGATCATTGAAACAGATGCATCTAAAGAAGTTGGGCATGATGCATGTTAGCAATAAAAGATGGAAAAGAATTACTCCATCTTGACCAATACGGTCGTACCAATAACAATGAAGTACCAAAAACTGAAAAACAGAATACAATACTATGTAAATATATTTCAGGAACATTTTCAAAAACTGAGATGAATTATCCAATCCATGAGCTCGAAGCACTTGCTTGTCTTCGAACTCTAAAGAAATGAAAAATTGATTTATTACAAACACGGTTCGAATTAAGAACTGATTCACAATACGTAACAGGATTCCGGAGATATAAAATTCAACCAGAATTCCAAAAAGGACGATTAATTCGATGGCAATTAGAATTACATCAGTTTGAACCATATATTAAATATATTAAGTCTGCAAATAATTGTTTTGCAGACACTCTAACAAGAAAATGGAAGGAATAATCAAGACAATTCAGAATCAGATCAGTCAGAAAGACAATCAGATTAAAATGATTCAAGAAAATCTCTCAAAACTCTTTGAGGAGAGGGAGGAGTTGATCAAATCTTTGAACATTATCATAAAAGCAACTGGTGGAATACCGGTAGAAGATCAAAAATCAGAACAAGAAAAAGAATCATATAAGGTAACACTTCCTACTGATATCAAGGTGGAAGAAAAACCAGACAAATGGTATGTTATCTTCAATGGACCATTCAGAGGAATATACATGAACTATGCGATTGTTTCGCAACATACCACCGGAAAGAAGGTTTCATACCAAGCTTTCCAGACCAAAGAAGAGGCCCAAAAATCCCTCAACGAATCATACAAAACTATGGTCCAGAAACAACCAATTGAACCAAAAGCCCAACTATCCTCGATGAGAATACCGAGAATAGCCCAAATACCAACCACGCAAGAAAAAGAAGCCATGAAACAAGTCACCCTCGAAAAATACCAGTCCTACTGGGCATCTCTAGTGGACTACAAGGAAAAACACACTACCATGGGATTTTACCCAAAAATGACCAGAACCGGACCAAAGGCTATCTTCATTGGAGAAGCCAACCCATTACTAGCCTTTGATTATCTTCAACATGGACTAGTCGACAGTATCTACACTGACTCAATGAGAATATTCGAAGAATTTTCACGAAAAATGAAACCAATTATCAGAAATTACTTCGAACGATTCGCGAAGGAAATAACTATTTTCATGAAGATTAAAAGTTTAATCCCGATCTTCGGAAATGATAAGATTATACAGTCACAGGCGGTAATACACCTTGGAGTAGCAAAGGGAGAACTGCCTCCAAGAGATGATGCATCAGATTACGAGATTCCAGATGATTTGGAAGCGCATTCATTACTTGAATTTTTCAAGACATCAAGAAGAATCCTTTCGGATTCAGAGATCAAAGTCAATTATGCCAGCAGTAATGTACTGATGATCACCTACAACAAGGAAACTATCTCGAAAGAAGAAATGCAAACAGTAGTAGATTTCGAATTAGACTTCTATCATTTAGAAGAAAAATTCGCAGGACTAGAGGAATCTATCAAAGAACAGCTCTGCAGATTCCTGATGAGGTATGACGACCACAAATGCACTATCTGCAAGGAACTAAAAGACAAGTAGAAAAGGAACAGTCAACCACCATCCGAAAAGTCTGAAGACATGTGAATAAAAAGTCATGTGACTAGTTGATGTAATATGTCGGACCCAATAAAAGATAAGGTTATCAGAAACCTTATCTCTGTAATCTCTATTGTGCAATTATGTAGTGTCATGTGTCTAAGTCGGGCCCCGGTTTGAGATTCTTATCCTAACGGATAGGGTTCCAAAGTTATATAAATATGAGCTCTCTCCGTTTGGAGAACTCAGAGTGAAATAAACGAATTTGTTTCAGAACTCTCTCTGAAAAATCTCTGTCAAGAGATTGGCTTGAAGATTTCTATCTTCTGGACGCCTTGAACAGATTCTTTTGAATCACAAATCGATTATTCCAGAATTCTAGAACTAAACACTACCCCTGAACAATATCAACAAACCGATCAGATCTCCGGATCACCAACGAGAAAACGATTATCACCAACACCAACCGACAGGGATTATTATCTACAAAAGCGAATCAGGTATGACATCAACTTCTGTTTTTGATAATTTTATACAATCAGATGAAGAATATTTCTTTGATGGAATGATAGACATAAACAAAATACGAAAAATAAGCTTTGATCTTCAAAAAAATGAAAACTTCGAACAAACTATACTAGGAAAAATAAAGAAACAATTATCAAGAACAAACATAATAAAATTTGGAATCATGGTAGGAGAAACACCAGTACCAATTGAACAAACTACAGGAGAACTCATTCTACCAATTATTAACAAAGAACAAATCTTTGAACGACTTAGAAATTATCCCGAAAAACAAAGAAAACAAATAGCCTACATACACTGTAGTACTATTCAAATAATTATAAAATCAACATTCAAAGAAGATATCGATTCCCCGATTACCTTTCAAATTAGAGATGATAGATTAACCAATTATAAAGAAAGTATTATAGCCGAAGGAAAATGAAATCTTTCTTCTGGGAAAATTAAATTTAACATTAATATACAACTCGGATTATCATTAAAAGATAAAGACTTGGATAATTCTATAGTTATCCAATACAAACTAGATACTACTGATTTCATGGAAAAAGGAAATCACCCTTTTTCTATAACCTATCAGATTAACTACGCATTAACAAATAGTCATCACGGTTTAAACTTTAGAAACAAAGATATTATAGAAATAGATGACTTATTTAAACTAGTAATTTATTTAAAAAGACCACTAACAGCAATAGAACCAAGACGAAAATCGTTGTTACGACTTAATCCAAGATTAAGAATACAAGAATCACCATCTTTATTATTTAACACTGAGCAGTCAGAAGAAAACCAGGAAAACTACTCTAAATTACGAAAAATAATATCAGAAATTAACAATCTTACTAAATGAATTTTAACGAAGACTTTATCGAAAAACTATCCCTATTAAATCTTAAAAGTTTACCATATCTAGATCATCTTGAACAATTATTAGTTGAAACTATAGAAAGTATATTTAGAAGACGAACTTATGGAACAAGCGAACGAAATGAACTTAATAAAGAAAATAGAAGAATAAAAATGATTAGTTCAATATTTAACGCAGTAAGAAAAAATAAAAGAGATATTATCGAAAACCATAACAATTAAAATGGAAAAAATATATAAGAAAAATATTGAATTATTAGATACACGAGTACGATATTTCGAAACAATAGACAATGTAAGAAGAATACAATATTTAATAGAAAAAGAACAAATTAATAATACAATTACAGAATTAAATAAATTAATCACAATAAAAGAAATAAAAATCGAGTATTTTAGGAAAGGGATAATTCCATTTAAAACCCTGTACTTTTCTCTCGTCGCAATTTAAACCCTGTACTTTTTTTTGATCCAAAAAAACATTGTACTTTTGAAAATTGGCAATTAAAACTCTATACTTTTAAAAATTGGCAAATAAAACCCTGAACAAAAAATAATATTATTTAATGCTGACATGGCATCCTAGTCATCTGCCACATCATCAATCCCTAATATTTAATAATATTAATTAATAAAAAATAAAAATAAAATAATAATAATAATAATAATAATCAACTAGCCGACAAAAACCTTAAATACACATTTTAACTAATGTCATAAATACACATATATAGAACTTGAATTTTATCTTCGTAGTTTATGAGTTTTAAATATTGATTAATAGACCAAATAAAATAAAATTATCAGTAGCGAATGTTTTAAAATATATTATTCATATATCATGCTTTGATAAGAATATATATAATTTTTAGTTTTATTTTATTTATGTAATAAGTTTCTTGTTGACTCCAAGTCTACAAGTGAGTGAGATAGGAGGGTCCTTTCGGCATCTAAGTTCAAAATTTGCGGCTGCTTTGCGTTTATTACGTTTGGGGAGTGGAAGGAACTTCTCAAGGTTCAATCATTCATATTCTCATGCACATGACATGGATGTCGCCTCAAAGTTATAACAGTTTTGTAATTTTGAATTGGATCCACTTGGTATGATAATATATGTGTATATATGTATATCATTTCATTATATATGTATGTGTATAGTTTTTAAATTTTTATTTTTATTTTTATTATTTTATTTTTATTTTGTATTAATTAATATTATTAAATATTAGGGATTGATGATGTGGCAGATGACTAGGATGCCACGTCAGCATTAAATAATATATTTTTTCGTTCAGGGTTTTATTTGCCAATTTTTAAAAGTATAGAGTTTTAATTGCCAATTTTTAAAAGTACAATGTTTTTTTGGATCAAAAAAAAGTACAGGGTTTAAATTGCGACGAGAGAAAAGTACAGGGTTTTAAATGGAATTATCCCATTAGGAAACATTCATCGAAAGATAATTATAACAGATATTGGCTTTCATTTTTAGAAGAAACATTAAATCGGATGAAAAAAATACTAAGTTTTTTCGAAAACGAATTAAAATCTCTTAAATAAAATAATAATGATATTGAAAGGTAAAATTGGAATTATCAAAATTACAATGACATATAAAGTCATCCTCTTTTTAGAGTGTATCGATGATAAGGGTGGGACAGCAAAGGTGTAGTGGTGAAGTTTGCCCCATTTAGAAACAGCGTGAGATATTGCTCCTTCTTTGATCAAAACGTATATGTAAATACTAAATACCAAAATAACACAATATTAATTTTTTTTTTAAAATATATATTTTTCATCTCATGATTAAAAAAAAAAATGACAGGACAAAAGCTTCACGAGATAGCCTTTGCTCTGTTTTCTTGGACCCTCTCTCTATCACTTTCTCTCTTCACCATGAAATCAAAATCTTCATTCTTCGCTCTCTCTCTCCTCTGGTCGTTTGCCCTGCTTTCTGTAGAATCACAAGGTTGCAACTTTCCGGCGATTTTTAACTTTGGGGACTCGAATTCCGACACCGGCGGTCTCTCCGCCGCGTTCGGACAAGCGGGTCCTCCTCACGGCGAGTCCTTCTTCGGCGGTCCTGCCGGAAGATACTGCGACGGCCGTCTCGTCATCGACTTCATCGGTACTTACACACATTCTCGTCCTCACCGGGTTCATCGGAATATTTTACGATGATCTTTTCTCTGCATGATATTTCCGAGAGATTTCCATTGAACTATGTGTTGTGTATCTGATCGGTCTTGTTCTTGCAGCTGAACGTTTGCGTTTGCCGTATCTAAACGCGTTTCTGGATGCGGTTGGTTCGAACTTCAGCCATGGAGCCAATTTCGCGACCGCCGGTTCACCCATCAGACAGCTGAACACAACTCTTCGTCAGAGTGGCTTCAGTCCATTTTCCCTCGATGTTCAGTTCACCCAATTCTCTAATTTCCACAATAGATCCCAGATCTTCCGCAACCATGGTAGAATCCTCTTTCTTACAACGATCGGATCAGGTTTAGTTGATGTTCCAAGTGAAAAGAAGTTGTTTGTGTCAATGTGCAGGTGAAGTCTACAGAGCTTTGTTGCCTGAAGCTGACAGCTTCTCGCTCGGTCTGTACACTTTCGACATCGGTCAGAACGATCTTACAGCCGGTCTCTTCGCCAACAAGACAGTTCAAGAAGTTAGAGCTGACGTTCCTGAGATCATCACCCAGTTCAAGAATGTCATCAAGGTCCAGTCCAAATCTTGGTTTCACCCCCTCTGTTGTGTTGTATCTGTTATTTGTCAGAATGGTATACATTGATTGGATTTGGAAATGGCGCAGTACATTTACGGACAAGGAGGGAGATACTTCTGGATTCACAACACGGGTCCCTTCGGTTGCTTAGCTTATGCGATCGATCATTTTCCCGTTAAAGCCTCGGATTTCGATGAACACGGATGTGTTGCACCGTTCAACGAGCTGGCTCAGCATTTCAACAAGTTGCTGAAAGAATCCGTGACCGAACTGAGAAACATGTTGCCGGAAGCCGCGGTTACTTACGTAGATGTGTATTCAGTTAAACACGAACTGTTCCTTCACGCGCAAGGACATGGTGAGGAAGAAGCCAGTTCTTCATCTCTTCCATATCCATATACCGTGTCTTGTTCGACCATTAAACTGTTCTTGAGATGTTTTCTGACATGTATTTTTTTTTCTGCAGGTTTCACAAGATCGTTGGTTTCGTGTTGTGGGCATGGAGGGAAGTATAACTACAACAAGAACATTTGGTGTGGGAAGAAGAAGATGGTGAGAGGGAA